TGAGAGTTTCAGACTGTCTGTGTCATCAGTGATTACACAGATGAGGTCTGAGCTGGGACGAGTTCTCCACCTTGCCTTTTGTTCTGAATCTCCACATCTACATGACTCAATGCAGATTACAAGTGACTGTACAGGCAATATGGGCAATCAATGAATAAGATACATCGACTAACCTCACTGTATAGAGCTATTTGCAGCCAGCTATAGTCATGATTTTCTATGCATCTTTGTCAAGAAGCAAAGTGGTATTTTATTTCTCTGACATTAACAGGAATCAATTTTTGAGGCTCAATTTACCCGACCATTCTGGTTTTGGTACATAAAAAATTAAAATGTCCCCTCCCTTTCTCCTTTACTCAACAGATTAGAAGTTAGTCCCCTTGTGCTGTTACTAGAGGTGTCATTTTGTTTTCTACTGTAATATAATTGTTGGAAAACTTTGAAAGTAAAAATAAATATTGAGCTGCACTCTTGCTAAAAAAATGAACAAACACTATCATCAGCAGAAAGCTTTGTAGTGGATGTAAGAATCTTAATTTCAGAAGTGCTCATCAATAATTTTGAAGTATATTTCATCTTAAATTGACATTAAATGAAAGAGGTGGGAGTGGCACTCAAAATTGGTGTATTTTGAAAAACACCCAAGTAAGTAAGGACTTGGTTTTTATCCAAAATTATAAGAGATATAGCATATCATGTCATAACCACAGCATGAAGCAGAAGCAATAGCAGTACTCTGATTAAAATGTAGCACATCATTTTTATGTATGATAGTTCTTTAGTAGCTGTAAGAGATCTTAATGCCATCTACACATTTAATTTCATCAGTGTCAGTAAATAATGCCAATTTAACTCCAATCTGAGACAAAAGGTTTGTCTGTGTGAAAGAACTTCCTGTATACTTCACCTCATTTTGGTGGGGTTATTTTTGTAACAATACTATTAAACTGGGTGGAAGGGGAAGGCTCTCCAAAAATTAGGGGAAAAAAACCCCAAAACACATAAATTAACTTTTATAATAGAAATGGAATTTATCAACACAAAATTTGAAAGAACCTAAGACAAAATGAAGTGTTACAAACAACCTATAATGTCTAGAAACCTTATATGATGATGTGATATATAAGTACTTCTAAAAATACTAGAACATAGGAATATAAATATACAATATTATCTAAAAACACAAATAAAGGAATACATAAATTTACATAATAAAAAAAGAGTACAAGAATAAAAAAAAACCCAGAAAATTAGGCCACAGTTACAAAAATGACCAGCAATTTAGTGATTTTGGATATATGGCTTTCCTTAAATCATACATTTTTTCAAGGCCATCTGAACACTTACAATCTAAAACATCAAGTTCCTGTAAAGCATTAGGATAATTTAAACATTTTAGTAAAATGACAACAAATTCTCCTTCTGAAATATACTGAACAGAACAGGAAAGTAAGGCATTTGGGTCCTTAAAATAAAATCACACTTACATGCCTGCAAGAACAATAAGACAAAGGCACTAACCCCCCACCACAATTCAGGCCAAAGAGCCAGGGCCAGGGAAGTTGTTACAAGGTGATGATAACCTATGCCAGGCAGGTAGGTAGCAATAAGAAAGAAATAGATATAATGGACATAACTATTAGCTTTGTTGTAAATAAACACTCATAATTTAGGTTTCTGACCTGTCCCTCTGAACTACAGTTTTGTATATACACAGTTTGATCTCAAAAATAATGAAATCATTATTTCATTATACTTTCATGATTTCATTATACTTTTAAGTATAATGAGAAAAAAGGCATGAGCATATCAAAATAGAGAACTCGTCAACATGCAACACCAAAGTCATTAAAACTGGGTGTAGAAAACTGATTTTAGAAGTCCCCAAATATAGGAAATCAGATAGGAAAAAATTGGATTTTCTATTGCTAAGACCAAATTTCTATTTCTTGTCATTTAAAAAAAAGTTAGCAACTGTGAGGCAAGTCTGATAGGTCATACATACAGAGAATGTATGACAAGATGCCTGAGTGTACAAACAGCTCAATTTAGTTCAATGCATGTTTTTAAGCCAAGAAAAACTTATCTGAGTGATCCCACTTGCATTCTCCTTCTCTGCCATCCCAGACGCAACATAGTAGCACACTTACGTGAATTCAGACTTGGTGATAAACTGTTGCTTTCACTGGGATACAGCTGCCTGCTGCCACATTTTGATGGGAAAAAGTCTATCCTAAACCTGAAGCTATATTTTAAGGGTGAGACAAGCCAAGAGCACACTGGTAGCCTATGGAAAAGAATGAGATATGAGAAATGAGGCATCAGTTCTTTATGTCACAATTTATTGTTAGGAAAATGAACCTCAAGAGATTTTGCCACCTGAGCTGGCTTAGAGAGGACCAATGAGGCCTGGAGCCACCATGAAGAAAGTGAGGGGTGTGCATGGGCAGGAGGAGGGAAGGAGATGGAGAGAAAATGAGAAAGGTGAGTGCTTAGGGTAGTGATGCTAATTTAAACCATATTGGACATCATCCCTACTGAGAAGAATCTTAAAGTATGGAAGACATGGGGAAAAAAGCTACCAAATGTTTTGCATTACTTTTCTTCAAACTTCCTGTTGTGTATCAGTCCCATTTCTCCAAAAATCTAAGTCCTTGACTCACAAGACTGACAAGGGGCAGTTTCATACACATGGAAACCTTTGGTCAACACATGGGCTGGAAAACCTTATCATCCAGACTCAACAGTTTTTTTAATAGTTTGGGAGACTGTAGAATAAGATTTCTAAGATGATTTAAAGCATTCATCTCATATGCAATGTAGATTACTGCAAAGATTGCCTATGGTAAAAGCTCCCTGAAAGAAAAATGAAAGAAAAACATTTTAAGCCCAGTTGGCTTCTTCACATACTGCTGCCATTGTCCTGCAACTGCTGCTGAAAAGTGAATACTAAACCAGCTTAATACTACATATATGTGACAAGCACGAATGCCAGCAGGATCCTGAAAATAATTATTTGCTCAAATGCTTGTATCGCAAGGAAAAGGAGGCCCGAGAAGAAGGTAAGAACATACACACACATACATGAAGAAGAACATTCTCCATCAATGCCTTTCTCGCTGTCTCTTACTCCCTTTTTTAACTAGGTTGCTAAACTTACAACAGTTCATCTAGGAGGAGAAGAAACCCTCTACAGTGTAAAAAAAAAAAAAAAAGGCATTTTATTACTTGTTTAATTTTCTTTCTTTCATTGAACACCACTGCCAACCTAGAAAACAATTTGTATTTTTCATATCAACAATTCGACAATATTGGTTTTACAAACAAAATGTAAAACCCATAAAGTTTCTTGTGATCCACTTGCAGTGATTCTTAGCTTTGTTATACCACTGATAACATATAATCATAATTGTAAAACAAACAGTTCTAATCTAAAACACTTAATAAAAACATAAATCATTCTATTTATAAATGAAAAAAACAAACTTTATATTTGGAAAAAAAATAATTCTTTCTGCAACTCTGATTAGAGTCAGCATCTCCTGAAATGGTCCTGGCCTGCCAGAAACTGAGGTTGATCAGACACATAAGGAAGCATACGACCCTTGGATGAGACTCAAGGAAAGTATCTAACTCTCTATAAATGCCTGGTATATAAAAATGTGAATGAAATCAGGGCACACTCTGACCTCAAATAACCTAGGCAATTAAACAAGTCACTGACCTGAGCTCACAAACACCTCACATCTCATGGAATTCAAGCAGAATGTGCATGAATAGTCTCACAATCTTGAGTTTCAATGGGTACTTTTTAACCTTGAAGTCAGTTGTTTCATAGTAACTCATACAAATACTCTGACTGTCATGGGACTACATAGGTAAGCGAATGACGCTTATCTGTGCAAATCTTGTTGTTGATTTGCATCAGTTATATGCACCACAATCAGGAAACGAAGGTAGTATTTTACTAGCTCCACATCAGTCAGCAAACACGACTTACGACAACTTTTAAGAGCCGTATAGTCCATAGATTTTAATCCTTCGCACCCTGCTAGTCACTTCCATCAGTCTCACACATCCTAAATTAAGAATTGTTTTCTTGCTCTCGAGTTAGCATTTTATTTTTAAAAAGAGACCGGAGAACAAGCAATCAAAGCAGGCTGCTTGGCTGAAGTTGCTGCAGCGCAGCTGATATGCCTGAAGTTTAGTGTCACTTTTCTCGAGGAGATCTGTGAAGCAGAGTTGAGCACAAAAGTAATGCCTGTTCTGGCGCGTCGCTTTCACGCCAGGAGAGGTGTGAGGGAAGGTGAAGCGGAGGAGAAATCACCTCCCTCCTTCTCCCGCTCCCTCTCCAGCGCAAGCGGGCCTGGCGGGGAGCGCCCATGGCCGGCGCTCCGCGGCGGGGCAGCGGGGGGGGCTGAGGGACCCCTAGGGCCGGGCGCTACCAGCGAAGGAATAGGGGAGGCAGCTCCCTGGGGACAGAAGGAATAGGGGAGGCAGCTCCCTGGGGAGAGAAGGAATAGGGGAGGCAGCTCCCTGTGGACTTCGCTGATGAGCTGCTGTAGCTCAGCGGAGCGGTCACACACCGGAGCGCATGGGGGAGAGAGGAAAGGGCCGGGGCTAACAAAGCCAGACCGCCTCCCTGCCTCCATCCCAGCGCGGCTCCCGGCCGCCCCCCGCGGGTTTCCCGCGGCCGCCAAGCGGGAACGAGCCCGGGGCGAGGCGCCCGGACCCGAGTAAGGGAAGGGGCCCGGTTTCTGCGGGGCAGACGGGCCGCAGAGGGCTGGTGGAGTCCGCCGGGCGGCGGGGGCTGCGGGGCAGGCGGAGCACGGCGCGGCGATGCCCGCGGCCCTCCTGCCGCCGCCGGGCTGTGCGCGGGAGCCGCAGCCGCAGCCGCAGCCGTAGCCGTGCCTGCGGCAGGCGGCGGCCATCGCGGGCTCGCCGCCCCCGTGCGCCCCTCCGAGGACGGAGGGGTGGGGGCAGAGGAGGCGGAGGAAGCGGCGGCGGCGGCGCCAGGAACAGGGAGGCGGCGGCACGGCGAGGGAGGGAGCCAGAGCCGAAGCCGGGCCGGGCCCCGCGAAAGCAACAGCAGAGCCAGCTCCTCCTTCTCCTCCTCCTCGGTGAGTGCCGCTCCGCCACCCCTGGAGGTTGCTCCCCGCCGAGCCCGGGAGCCGGCGGAGGCCGGGCCGCACCGCTGAGGTGCCCGGGAAGAGGCCCGCGCCGGGAGCGGGACGCCGCGGCCTCCGCTGGGTGAGCGTCCCCGGGGCAACGGGCGCACCGCGGCCCGCTCCCCCCTCCCGTCACCGCTGGGCGCGGAGGGCTGCTGCGGTGGACGGGGAGCCGGTGGATTGGGCCGGCGCGGTTCTCCACTTGCCCGCCGCCCTCTTCCCGGGCCGCGGCCCCGGCCTCCGCTCCCTTTGTTTGCTGGGCTCCCCGAGCCCGCGGCGGTGCCAGGCCCTGCGGAGGCACCGGGGCCGCGGCGCGGCCTGCGAGGCGGCCGGGCGGGCGGCAGGGAAGCAGCGCCGGGCCCGGGCCGGCGAGGCGCTGCCCAGCCCCCGCCGTGACAGGAGGGGGTCTAGGCCAGCCTCTCGTGCCCGCCAGTCGCGGCAGCGGGGCCCGCCGGGCTCCCGTGCTCCTACCCTGGGCCGCTGCCCGAATGCACCCCGAGCCTACTGGTGCCATTGTGGGGGGCGGCGGAATTGGGCTGATTTCCCTTTACCCCGCCGTGAAACCCGCCTTCAGTAGAGGCTTTTATGTCCCTGTCTCCGGCGGGGCGGGTGTCCGGAGATGGCGATTTGGGCAGCCGGTGTCGGGGTTTGTGCCGTGGAGGATCCCCGGGATGTGGCGAGGTGAGGGTGCGCCCAGGGCTCCCCAAGGGGTGAGCGAGAGAGGCTCCTTTCTGTGACAGGCAGCCCTTAAGAACTTGACTTTAACAAAAGCATTACCAGATCCGCAAACTTTGCTCGCTTTCATTGTTCTTCGAGCTGCTTTTTGCACTCTCTTTCCCAAATGATGCCACTTCTCTTAGAAAACAACTAGCCCATGCCAGCCCGTTTGCTTATGAAAAAAGCCTTTGCAAAACAACGGGGTTTTGAGAGATGCAGTGGATGATACTTCTGTGATGTGAGGGTGCTTTGGCTATGTCTTTCTGTCCTCTTTATTTTTGTCTTCCTATATTTTCAAAATCATCTTAGTTTGGAACACAGGGGGTTTTTTTCTTGTGGAGTAGGCTACTGCATTAGAGAAGTTGGTCGTAGAATATGCTTTAGTCAGGAAAACTGACTTCCCCTTAAAAAATTATTGTGCTCTTTCACTGTGAGGGCCCAACCACTCTTTCCTACAGGCCAGGAACGTTTATGCCATGTCTATCCGCTTAATACACCTTTTTAGTTTAAAAATGCCTGCTGCAGGCCTCCTGTCTTGAAGAGTTGCTGTCTGCACAAGTACTCAAGGAATAATGCATCTGCATTTCTGCTCTGGGTGGAAAAAACCAGAACTGGTTCTGTTTCTAGTTTTTGTTTGTGCAAATAAATACATCTTGGGATTGTAGAAAACATGGAAGCTTTGGTGCAATTATAAAATAGTTTACTTAGCTTGGCTGGAAGACTCTAAACTAGAGAATGTGTAGATATTTTTTGAGTCTTCTGCAATAAGACAGTATTCATAACTCACAGTTTTATGTGTAACTTAAGAAACACAATTTCAGCTTTTTCAAAATGCTTACTTTTCTGATGTGTTAAACATCAGAGTTTTCACTTCCTAGTCGAGATTTCTTGAGTTTGTGGCATTGCACTGTGTTTGGAACTGAGCTTTTACTTGAAACAGGTTCACCTCTTGTACGCTTAATCAGGGATGCATTCCCTCTATCCCAAGTTTTGAGATTTAAGTAGATTTTTTAAAAGTTAAAATTTAATGAAATTAAGCCTTAATACTTAGAAGTTTAAGTGATGACAGTGTATTGTTATGCAGACATACCCACATTAGCTAACTCCCTGGATAGCTGCATGGGTATGGAGTAGTTAGGGAGAAGCTCTGTGTTGTTTCCAGGGGTTTCATGAGCATCACTTTAATGTGCTGCATGTATTGCAGCATCAAAGTGTTTGCATGGATTCAGGAGATGTGATGGGTAATTCTAGGTTTCATAAAAACTCGAGGTACTGAAATCTAGAAAACAGCTGTGTATTAATTTATACTATGCTATTAACTTCTTTGATCCTAGATTGTGAAGTTGGTCAGTACCCTTGGCTTATTCTTGGAGAGGGATGGTTTGAAGAAATGGTAACTGGTTCTTACTGTTCTGTGAGTAGATTACAACTTCTGACTCTCCTTAACATAATGAATTGATGGAGTGGGAGAGTGAACTTTTAACAAAAAGTTGTTCGTACAAAGCAAGTAAATTATTTCTGCTCTTATGATTTTTATAGTCTTACAGTAATTTGAGTTGCAGGACTTCATTTGGTAGGGCTGCCCTGAGTTCACTACATATTTGCTATGCTATTGTTGGCAAAACTGGGGCCATAGTCCAGGGTAATCCCTAACTCCAGTGCCTTTTTTTCTCTTTCTTTCCAGCCCTCTTGGGCCTACACAGCACGAGTTTAGTAGTCTTTGGGTAGTACAATGCAATAACATAAAATAGATAGGAAGGAGACAACTGTTCTCAGCTGGTGTGTGCCTCACTGTTTTATTGATAGGGCTTTAATGTGTGTTAGCAACAAATTAGAGAGGGTAGCTCAAGCAGTTCTGATGCTCCAAAGAAGAAAATAAGATACAAATAGTATAAAAGGGAATGTAATGCGGATGCTAAAATGGCTTGAATATAAATTGGGTAGGATGAAAAACAGAATGATATATCTTATGCCATGTAACTGTATATTTTGTACTGTAAAGTATTACACTGAGAGCAAATATAGTAATTTGAGTTTACTCTTTTTTATTTTTTTATTTTTCAGAAGAGAAATAATTATATCTGTAATGTTCCTTGTCCTTATGTTTATTCCAAAATTTGTTTGCATTCTGTTTTCTTACACACTTAGTTTTCTGGAAATAAATATCAGTCTTCAGAAGACAAAGGTCCTAAGTTCTTATCACATTTGTCCTGGTCCCTCCCAATAAATTTGTAGCAGTAGAGAAGGAAGTATCCTTTAAGAAAAACATTTTAAAAAATAATTCTTGATGATTTCAGATGTCAAGTTGCATACAACATGTTTTTGTAGAAAAGGAGATGATTGTGCTTGTAATGGGATATTTATTGTCCAGGATTAAAAAGCAGCTTCATACCACTCAAATATATTTTTGATACAGCACAATATATAAAGATTCATGGTACACAGTACCTTCCTTCTTTTATTATTGTTTTATTTTTTCCTCTTGAAATAACTGATTTCTGAATTAAAACACTGTCCTATGCAAGTTGAATAAATTTCTGTGTTAAAAATAGCTACATTACTTTTGAAAGAAACATTTAGAAACTCATGGCTTTGGTTTTTTTTGTTGGGTTTTTTTTTGTTTGTTTGTTTGTTTGGGTTTTTTTTGTTTGTTTTTTGTTGCAGTTTTCCCCCTGTATCTGAATTGAAAAAACTAGTGAAACAAAAACCTATTGCCTACTTCAGCCTCTCCTGAATAAAACCAAACTGAAAGAAAACTGGCCTATAATTATTGCCCTGGATGAAAATGGAAAGCTGACTCTATGTAAAGTGTTGACTGATACATCAAGGTTATGAGAAAGGGTACACAAACTTTGCTAGAGTCTACACAGACTGAACTTGAATAGGCAATGTGGAGCAAAATCTGGCTTAGTTGCTTATTGTGAGAATTAAAATTTTCAGATCAAAGCATTAGAAATTTAGCTCTTCAAGTCCTTAAGCTCACTTAAATAAAAGTTACTCTGGATATTTTGTTTTGGTAGTTTTTGTGGTCTTCTTTTGTCATGTACAGGCATGTGAACAATAAGCATTTGGAACTCCAGACAATTTCAGAAGGCTTTGAGGTGTTTGGCTTTGCAAATCTAACTGCTCTTCATTAGTCTGTAACGTGGATTTAAGAACCTATCTTTGCATATTTTTAATTTTTAAAAGATTAATTAAACTGTTATCTCTCAAGAAATTTTTTTCTGGAAAATATTAAGATAAAATACTTTGGAAACTATTGGTCCCTTTCTGTCTTCTTAACCATTCACATAACACTTTGGACTCTGAGGAACTCAGTTGGCCTCATTTATGAGGCCACACGTTACCTAAAAAATTCTTTCTTGGTTGCTGCATCACCAAGAAAACTATGCAAGTTAAACATAGGTGTTTGTTTAGCATGGATGTCAGTAGAGTTGCTGACTTGTTCTGCCTCTGACTTTAAACTCCATTGAAGGAATATGAAACAAATCTTTCTTGCAGGTAAAGCAAAGAATGCTGTATATAGACATTTCTGTCCAGGTGCTGCTCCCCTAACATTGCTTCCTTTTTTGTATATTTCGGGCACATAGCGTCTCATGCTCTGTCTTCTGGGAAACAGTGCAATAAGTTGGCAATTTTAAAAAATCTTAGATTTGTAAAGTGTGGGGATTTTTGTTGTAAACACTAAATAATCTTGCTGTAAACTGCTGTAAAATAGTTTTGGATGAGAGCCATTTTCTCTGGATGTGAAGGTATAGATAGTAGTTATTAGTTGTTTTTTTTCTGAGAGTTTAAGTAGTTTGAAGTTAAAAATTTAAACCATGAAAATGAACCTGTGCATATTGTTAAGTAAATCATACAGATATATGGTATTGTTCTTTGCTTCTTATTGCACTGTGTAATCAGCAGCTGTACTTGTGTCATTTAACATGGATGTATATGACACTGACCTGTAAGAGCAGTTGTGTTAGGTTTTGATGATCTTGAGTTCATCAGGTGAATGCAGCTAGGAGATAAAGTGATTAATTTAGCATTTGAGGTTACCAAAGTTATTAAATCTGCATTTTTCCTCGAGGATATTTTGTATTGCTTAAAACAGTACATAGAGTGTTACCTTTGAAAACATTGTTGGAAGTGAGATTCCAGTCAGACTTGGTTTTACAGTGTGTGATCTCTTGTTTTTTCTTGAGTAGTTTTATTCTTAATTAATCTTGACATTTTCTGGTAAATGTGCT